TAAAAAAATGTTCGAAATGACCACCATTGCATTGGATGCATAATCTTGCGCGTCGAGAAAGACTCATTATTGCATTTCTAATCATGTCCGTGTTACTGTTGCAATGGCTTCGGTAATTCTATCGTCTAAATTCTTCGCGATTTTGGATTTGNTCCCTATAAACATATCTTTTAAGAAAAATTGATAAAAAAATTCTTTTCTGATATTCTTGTTTCTATATTTTTAATTAATATGATAATTACCATTAATTTGATATAAACGCATTTGAATTAATAGGTTAATTTGACAAATTTCAGTCTTATTGTATTAACATATTCAGTTTTTTCATATTAAAAATGGTTTTTCTATCGGTATTATAAAAATATTCACCATACGAGGTAAATGAATATATGGTTATAAATTCATTTTTACAGTTGACGTAATATCGATCGTAATTGTATTTCTTTAATATTTTCCGATATTAATTAATTATTTAGTGTACAAATAGATTTCGTATAAAAGAAAAAGTAATTTCTTAGGAAAAATAATCTCGGTGTTGTTAAAAGAGCTCTCGTAGCACCTCTAGCATTTGTCATATCATCATGCCTGAGCGCGCGAAATTTCAGCTCTGTGATTAGCTTACTTTAATCGCTACTAATTTAAAAACTATAATAGCTTCGACATTTTCGTATTAGGATTTTCGTCTTAGAATGTTCTAAAGAATCCGCACTTAAAAGGAAATCCGCGAGGTTTGGGATACTCTGTATATTTCGATGTATATATCGATGTGACGATACGCCCCGCCTCGTCACCACAAGGGGCCGACCAGCCGCCCCTGGCGCTCAGCGCCACAACTCCGACTAACACGCGCGCCGAGCGTGTTACGGGAGAGCGACCCCTCTCCGCAGCCCCCGCCGAAGCCCATCGGCGGGGGTATATAAGCCGCCGCCGCGGAGCGACGGCAACCAGTCCGGTCCCGAACCTACTCCTGTCGAGACCGTTCCTCCTGCGAAGAGAATCA